CAGTCCTGTAGATTTGGTTTTTGTTAGGATACTTGTTTGTTTTCGCGATATATGCTTCGATACCTTCTAGTTCAAACTCATTTTAAATTCGGACAAATTTGATTACGGATTTGTCAGAAAAAAAGAAAAATAACGATAATCGATTGCAATTGTGCCTGGATTTGTTAATAACAATAACAGATAAGACACATTCTGTATACTTTTCTAATATCTTATTAACAAAGAATTAAGTAAGTGCGAAGTGAAGAACAAAATCAAAATCAACTACTCGAATTGGAATGTAAATGTAAAAAAAATAGTTTTTCATTGTAAAACATATGATCGAAATATCCTTTGCAGAAATAATGTTCGGTATGCAAAAAATAATATATATTATTATTATTATTATTATTTTTGAAATATATAAACACTCTTTCATCTTATTTTTTCTTTAGGTTATTTAATATCAACCAAACCAAAGTAAATTTTGAAATCGATTTTTTTGTTTTTTTTTTTTTTATTTTTTTTGATTTATCTATTACATCTAATAATAATAAAATTCTAATAAAATAATAGCGAAAAAAATGCAAAATCAAGAATTAGTTTATGCCCAAGCTTGGGACTATCAGTTATTGCTTGATAGCTTGAGCTTTGAACTAGAAGGTATCGAAGCATATATCGCGAAAACAAACAAGTATCCTAACAAAAACCAAATCTACAGGACTGGAAAGGGAACTATTAAAGATCACAGTGGGTCCGCTGAAGATTATTATGATACTGCTTTGACCAATTTATTAACTTTGTCTGGAATGGTTAAAGCAACACCTCTTCCCGAAGTTAAAGACTACGCACTAATAGAATTCTACAAATGGATCGATTATTCGGACATAACTGAGAAAAATTGCTCGCCTGATTTAGGTCGTCTCTTGATCGGTGTGCATGAATCATTGAAAGGTGAAGGAAAAAAAATTTTGGAAGATACAAAAACGTACCTTGCAAATGCGGAACAACCTCCGAAAGAGTCTTTCATTAACATTTTTAGTACCACTCAGAAGTTTGCGCATGAAACTAGAGAACTTAAAGAAGGTCTCAAGGATCAAAAATTTGACAAATCTCCAAGATTTCATGGTGATAGCGATAAAGGAAGAAGAACTTTTGAAATGATTGAAGCAAAATATGTTGAAGCCTATTTAAGTAACGATTCTTACTCCCAACAGGAGAATCAAATGAAAAATAACAGTATGTATAATAGTCATAACTATGGCTATTTTCAGTGAAAAAACATAGCTAGCAAATTCTTTTTAGACATCAATTTCTTTTTTCATTGTGAGGATTTTTTTTTTTTTTACCATAAATATGTTATATTTGAATAGTATTATCCTCTTTTTCTTTATTGAAGTCATTAAATAAAGTTGTCAAACGTTAATAATGGTTTAAAATCTACCTTTTTTCGATGCCTAACTAAGCCTGACATATATTTACTATTGAGTCCTGTTCTGTTAGAAAGAATTTGTCTTTAGATAAATTCAAGATATATATTGTTAATAATCTGAGATATAGAACTATATCTGTGCTTGGATCCGTTCGAAAAATTCGTCGGATTTTCTATTAGATATCTGTTCGTATCGGCTAATAAAAATATGTTTGCAGATAGTCGGATATCTATTAAACTATCCGATACTTCGATTAATAATGATGATGCATTTATATTGGCATGAATAAATGAAATATTTTATACGTAATATATAACTTTGATTAGAGAATTTTTTCTTATAAATCGTATTTTATCTTGAGCGCAGAATTTTTTTTTTTTTTGTTTTCAGTTTTATTTTCGTGTTCATGCAGTACTAACTCTTCTTTCTGGTATTGAATCGTTCGTCGTCATGTTTTGCTTTTTGGTGCCGTTAATTGGAATGTTGTTGGTGTTGAGTTTTGTTGCGCTATATTTGGCGCTTTTTCGTCGTTTTGGCGTTGTACTGGTGTGATTCACTACGACGTTGGTATCTTGAATAGGCGTTAATTAATAAATCTAATAAAATAGTGTTGAATCTGAATTTATCTTGAAAATATAAATTTTGATTTTACATGATAGCTAAAAAAAAATTTTTTTTAACACTTTCGAACTTTAATAAATAAATAAATCTTTAATAAATAAATAATTGTTGGACAACGAGTTTCAAG